TGAAAAATGTCCTATAATAACAATAAAAAATGAGGCTCAAATACACCACCTTCTCCAGGAAGCATGACTAGTTGGACTCGTTCGGCTACTATTCTTATTTAGTTCACATCTAGTGGTATGTTTTGTTTTTTTGTTTGATTATATTCTAAGTATATTTTTTAATAGCCTTGTAATTGTTAAACTAATTATATATTGTAAAGTTGTAAATTGCAAACAACACATTATGGAATCACCACTATTTACACTAATCACAAATAAACTCCCTATACAGACATCACACACACATATAGACTTCGTTCAAACATTGATCAATTTACTTGAAAAAATATCTTTTGTGACGATACATGTTCTACTCTGTGCATCGGTTACTATTTACCGTGTCACATGTATTCCAACTTTAAGTAGAAACCAAATTCCCAGATTAATCTTATGCCTCAATATAGTTGCATTGCGTACTGAAAAGAGTAAATCGCTACGCAACATAAGTGATAGATCGATTGAATGGTGTATTGGTTTCTTTGGTTTGTGTAATTTTGCCCTTATGTTTCAATGTCTTGTAGTCTTAATGGATTGGTTATGGTCTTAAATGATTTACAAAATACAATTACGGACTTAGATAATACCGAAGCAGCTAGTTACTTCAATTGTGACATACAAGATCTTAAAAATCATATACAGATCCGTAAAACAGACCTTACTATACTTTGTCAAAATATTAGAAGTATATACTGTAATTTTCACAGTTTGGAAGCTACAATATCAATTTTAAGTCACGGTATAGATGTTCTTGTACTGACAGAGTGTAAGCTGGACAAAAATAAACCAATTCCCCATATTCCTAATTATACTTCGTTACAATCGATTCATAATTTAAACCAGAACGATGGCGTTGTGATTTATGTTAAAACTCATCTAAAACCCGTTCTAAAAGAAATTAATTTAAAACATGCTTCTTGTATACAGTTAAGTATTCTTGGTGTGACAATAATAGGCATTTACCGTTCACCCTCCATACAAAACGCAACCGAATTTATTGAATCTTTGAATGCTTTCTTAAATGATATAAAGTCACATCGAAATATAGTTATCACTGGTGATTTAAATATCGACCTCATTCAATCTGCAACTGAAAAATCATATGAACGGCATAATAGAGTCGAATATCTAAATATGCTAGCCATGCATGGTATATTAGCTGGACACAAATTACCTACAAGAAGCCTCAGTAGCCTCGATCATTTTATGATAAAATTAGACAAAGCCAAACTATCAGCAAATATTGCAGTACTAAATACATCAATAACGGACCATTTGACATTATTTTTGTCATTATCTAAATTTAATTTTAAAACAAATAATAAAAATACTGTTCAGCATATAGACTTCTCAATCGCTTATGATAAACTACTTCAAAAGAACCTGCAGTCGTTGCTCTTTTGCTACGACCCTGAGATTGTTACTACACGGCTAATGACATCAATAACAGAATCATTAGAAGAGAGTAAGACATTTAAAACTCTAACTAAAAACCAGCGCTGTATCAAACCTTGGATAACTGAGGGAATTCTTAGATGTATCAAAAACAGGAATAAGATGCAACTAAAGCTTCGATCTGACCCCCTAAATGACATTCTAAAATTACTTATAGACGATACAGAAACTTTTGTAACAATTTAATAAAAAAACTTATACGGAAATACGACAGGCAACTAATATTAAAAGCAGGCAAAAATTCGAAGGAACTTTGGAAAGCAGTCAAAACAGTGACACATTTTAAAACAACAACTTCACAGTGCGAAGAACTACTCAATATAGAATCAACCGCATCTGATTCAGTAAATTCAGTAAATAGTTATTTTGCTAATATTGGTAGGAAATTGGCAAACGATGTCATAAAAAGTGATCCCCATAACTCACATAAGAAAACTTCCACTAGTCCATTTAGATTGCAGAACTCGTTTGTTCTAATTAAAACGGACCCTACAGAAGTTAAAACATTTATCATGCAGATGAAATCGGATAGTGCACCTGGCTGGGATAATATACCTACTAGATTTCTCAAGCTTTGTGTTATCTTCATTGCGCCATTAATTAGTCATCTAGCAAATGTATGTTTTGACAAAGGTATTTTTCCTGTTGCTTTAAAAAAATCTATTGTGACTCCTGTATATAAAGGTGGGGCAAAGGTTGACATAAATAATTATCGACCAATCTCAGTCCTACCAGCAATATCGAAAATTCTCGAGAAACTTATTAACAATCGGCTTGTTAGTTATCTTGAAAAGTATAACATCATTTCTAATTCACAGTATGGGTTTAGACGTGGATTATCGACTGAGGACGCAGTATTATCTCTAACATCTCTTATTACGGAACAGCTTGACAAGGGTAAGAAATCGCTAGCTATTTTTCTAGACCTGAAAAAAGCATTCGATACGGTCTCTATATCTACCCTCGTAAATAAGCTAGAATGGATCGGAATTCGTAATGAACCTTTAAAATTACTCATAAACTATCTTGAAGGCCGTACTCAAAGAGTGAAAATAGGAAACCACGTGAGTAGAGACATGGATATGACAGCTGGTGTACCTCAAGGAAGTGTCCTCGGTCCGACACTATTTCTTATTTATATAAACGACCTAACAAATATTAACATTGAGAGAGGCAAAGTATTTTCCTATGCCGACGATACTGCGATCGTGTTTTCTGAATCCTCGTGGAAATCAGTGTTTGAGATAGCAGCAAGCGGTCTTAATAAAATTTCTAAATGGCTAAAAGCAAACCTACTTACTTTAAACAAAAACAAAACAAACTACATGTGTTTCTCTATAAATAACAGAACCCAACCTAAAAATGATTTATCCTTGAAAATACATGAATGTGACGGGCAAAATTATTCCACCTGTATGTGTACTCAGCTCCAGAAGGTTTCTACAACAAAATATCTGGGAGTTACACTAGACCACAAACTATCGTGGCATCCTCAAATTGAGTATGTCAATGAGAGAGTACGCAAACTTATCTGGATTTTTAGGACCCTGAGACATATTACAACTCATAAGCTAATTAACCAAATATATATTTCTTTAGTGCAATCTGTTCTAGAGTACTGTATTTCTATTTGGGGTGGAGCAACAAAGACTAAATCCTTGGAGGTAGAACGTGCACAACGCTCACTTCTAAAAGTTATGTACCTTAAACCTCGATTATTTCCTACCACCGACTTATACGGGCTCAGCGATGTTTTAACCGTCAGACAACTTTACATATTAAGATCTACTCTTAGTTGCGTACAAAAATAACTTTTAAACCTATTACGGAGACCCGAAGGAGAGTGCACAATATAGTATTACCTGTTAAAACTAGAACTTTATTCGCTAAACGTCAATTTTGTGCACTCTCAACTTTCCTATATAATCGTATACATAAGCTACTGGTTATTGATCATGTGAATAACAGGGATTACAAAAGTATTGTTACGAATTGGATAAAAACGTTAAATTATGAAGACACAGAGGCATTCCTCACATAAGTGATTAATAAAATATGCACAATACTTACACAAATGCACAATACACGCGCGCGCGCACACACACACGCACACACACACACACACACATATATATTTTCATTGGCATTTTGTTTATTTCAAAATTGTTATATTAAGTTGTGTTGGCGATTATTGTATAAATAGCATCATTAGATACTTACCTGCAGTGATGAGAGAGCGGGTTCTCCTGATACAGGTTTTATTTAAAACTTACTAGGAGGACTCATCGACTAATTGTACTATTATGTTATTTAAAGAAATAAACAAATTTTCATTTTCATTTTCATTTTTCATTTCATTTCATATCACATTGCGCATCGCTGCGTCGCGCGTCGGTCGCTGTCATTCCGGTCTGAATTGCATCTTAGTGATGTGATTTATTTGATATGATATTCAACGATATTAACAAAAACCCCTAAAAACTGATCGTTTTATTGGCGAACTGCCGCACATTTATGAATAAAAAAACACATTTTTGTGTTAATTAAATTCAAAAACCTTACAATAATATACTCATAATATATTATAATAAATAAGAAAAGTTTTAGAGAGATGCTTAAATAGTTCAGTGTTGTCTTGGCTGAGGCAATGAAACTTGCAACAGCTTAGTGGGTTGCCAAAGATTAGCTTCTGGCGGCGATTAATTAGTGCCATTCCAACACTTGGCAAAACCAAGCAAAATAAATGAATAAAATATTCAACGTTGGTTAATAGCATTCCATAAGTAACAATATATATTTATCACATTACTTTATGCTGAGTAGATTGATCCTTTTCAACACTATGTACTGCAAGTGTATCAAATCACCGAGATATTTATTAGCTTTTGCAAGAATATAAATGTAACTTAATAAATCTTTCTTGCATTTAACTGTTTATCTAAATATAAAATATGATACAAGAAGATTCTTTAACACAATTTGCACTTTAGAGACGGCATCTTTCAGGCGGAAGTCAGACATCATCTGCAAAAGAATCATAGAATCTAACAGGTGCCCCAAGTGTTAAAAGTTATTGAATAAATAGTATAAACCGATGTTGCCAGTCTACAATAATGTATGTAATGTCTGTACATACCTATTTCGGAAAGCCGTGTGTAACAATACGCAAAGGTCGAGTCTCCTTTAATTTTTAAATATCCATTATAAACTCAATACTTAAAAAGTTGGTGCGTGTTTATGAAAACACGATACAAGTCAGACTTTTAAAATCATTAATAGAAACAAAGGTATTCCTCGGCTGGGATTCGAATCCGGACCGCCCGAGTGGCACTTGAGCTTTCAACCACTGAACCACCGATAGTCATGTTGATAAAGTTTGATTTTTTATAATGTTAATAGAAAATGTTATGTGACATGCTCAAGATTAAAGAAAAAAAATGTAGCGATGTAATAAGGTTTCACTTTTATAATAACGTTAAAAATTCAGTTTGTATTTTTTTTATTCACAGGGGCCATATCTATGGCAGTGGATGATGTGAATTCGAAGCTTCTCCGGCCGATGGGCCATGAAATAGACTTTGTAGTAGCAGAAACTTATGGTCAAGAAGAAGTTTCAATAAAACAGGTTTGTTTAAGTTAAGTACTTAATCAATCACCTGAATGAGTTAAGCCGGGTATTCCTTAGCGAGCTGTAACCATAACATACGTGATACAATACGAGGTTCTGGTGTGTACGCTTGTAGCTCAGTTGTAAACGTCGGTTCGCTGCAAACTTTTTGCATGCTTTTTGGTTACAGTACATGTAACGGTTACGGTTACAGCTCACTAATGAGTACCCGGCTTTACAATGTACGTCCTTCTTGCTTTCTTGAACCAATATGCCAACCGTCATGTGGTTATTGAGTGGATTTTATTGCCGAACCGTCTAGCAGCTCCTAAGTTCAATTTAACAACTTATAATTATAGGTATTTTGGTGCGAAGGAACTTATCTATTTTCGAGTGTTATAAATTTGTAGTGTAGATGAATGAGAGGCAGTATAGATGAATGTTCGGCAGTAATTACTACGGGTCGGCTTTGTTGTTCGACAATGGTATTCAATGCCCTGCCGGCCGACGGAGTTTAAATCACTGCTAATGACAAAGTTCCTTAGGCCAATTAAGTTACGGCTACAAGAAAAATGTTTAGGGTAGCTATACACATAAGTAGGCCGGCATTAATCGGCACAGTTGGGCGGTAAATTCGAATATTATGTGTAGATGAATGTTCGGCAGTTATAACTACGGGTCGACTTTGTTGTTCGACAAATAATGCCGAAACGAATATTAATATAACCGGCCCGATTATGTGTGTACTTATTCTATTTTTATTTTTGGTTTTTCACAATTTCATGATTATTAACCTTCTTTATACTGACGTTTATTTAAGTGCGTGTTTTTAACCCATATAATATTATCTAAATAAAAGACAAGATAGTTTGCCTTCGAGGCCATCGCCAAGGGGGGTGGGGGGTAGGGGGGCGCTTGTGTTTACCTTAGTATCTATTGAGTTATAAACAATCTGCTGTCCTTCAAAGGAGTTCAATAATATGTCATTAATGACCGCTACGTGGTCGTTCTTTGGGGTTAGTAGAGCTCTTTCGCATAACCACTTTATTGATTTTTCCGAGATGAGCGCAACGTCTGGATAAATGTTTGATATCAGGTTTTCAACTGATGTTACTGAAGTGCAGAGATAGGAAGGGTCAGATTTCAAATAAAATATAATACATTTAATAAAATCGATGGTTAAAATTGAAATTTAAAACGATTCAAACAGAAACTTGCTAAGAGTCATAACAGAATTCCAATTTAGCAAATACTTGTTCCAATCGCCTGCTCAATTACTCGCCGAGTCACCCGTTTACTAGGCGACATTTTTATTTTATTTTACAGACTCGTTCATTTGTTGGATTCCCTCAATTGCATATTTTAGAGTTCCTTCAACAATGTTTACATTAAAAAATCTCGTAAAATACCTACAATATTAAAGTGCATAAGTAGGTACTTAGTTATTTAGATATTTAATTATTTATATGTAGGTAAATTAACTGTTATACAGTTTGGCAGATGTTGACATACATATGATTAACATGTGTAATGTTATGGGAATATCAATAAAAAAAAACTGCCAATTCCGAGTTAAGGTATTTATTTATTTGATGTAGCACAGATATTTATTCGTTCCTGTGTCATTAATGTAGAAAATAAATAAATGACACTGAACCTAAGGGCAATTTTGTGAAAGAATAAATTATTTTTTGATTACTCTTGGTATTTTTAGGGTTCCGTACATCAAAAACGGAAACTAACTTAAATGATCACTTTGTTATCCGTCTGTCAAGAGTAGACCCTTTATCTGGGGAACGCGTGGAGGTATCGATAATATTTAAACCATATACACGCGAGAGCAATAAATCCGGGTCATATAAAGAATCCTAAAAATCTCGCAAACTAAGAATACTAGCTTAATGAAATAAACTGTGTTTAAGAGACAATTGAATGCTCCTTAAATGAAAGTAATAAAATTAATGAGTCACTACATTTTATTTACAAAAAAATACATAAAGAAAAAAACTAGCTGATCTCGCCTTAGAACAAAAATAGGAAACATGACATTTTTGGACAACATTACGATTTTCTTGAATTTCAATATTTCGTATTGCCTCCTCGTGCTTCCATTACTCCGTTTACCCGGTTCGGCATGCTATACGCCAAGTTTCTTATATGATTTTGGCGAATATTCTCCCATTCCTCAGTGAGAGCAATTTTGAGCTAACGAAGCGTAATTTGGGGTGAGTTTCGTTGTTTTATGCATCTCCCTAGCTCGTCCCAAGCATGCTTGATCGAGTTCAAATCTTGAGTAATGATGAGTAATGTTCATCTCTTGAAGGTAGTCATTCACAATCCAGCCTGTATGAGGTCGGGCATTGTTATGCATGACAAAAAATTCCCAAATTGACCATAAATAGACCAACGTGTTCATTCAAGATTTCTTCCACATATCTTTCGCTAGTTAAAGAGCCGTTTTCTATGAACATCAGTCCTATGCGACTCTCAGAAGAAATTCCGACCCATACAAGTACAAACCCACCACCATAGGCTACCTTTTCTTCGATGCATGCTTGCTTGCATCTATCCTCAGGGCTGTGTACATACTCTGTGTCTTCCATCGTGCTTGTAGAGCATAAATTTTGATTCGTCGGAGAACATAACTTTTGACCTATCATCAATAGTCCAATTTAAGTGATTCTGGGCATGTCTTAGTTTTTAAACACGATGCCCACGCTCCAGTTTATTGCCCTTTGCAGCTCTAAGTGGTTTCAAGCTAGCTTCAGCAATCGTCGCCTTACTCTCCATGCGCTTGAGTTACTTCCTCCGAGGCGTCGAAACTGACTTGCAACTTCAGTTCCTGTGAGAAAGCGATTTCGAAGCATGGTGTTCACCAAGTATCGATCTTCTCGTGCTGTGGTTCACCTGATTCTGCCTGTTCCTGGTCTGCGTAGAATAGAGCCAGTTTCCTCTTAGCGTCGGAGATCTCTTTGTACTGTTGACAGCGACACACCGACAGTCCTGGCTGTAACGCGCTGACTCCGGCCGGTTTCCAGCATTGCGGGACTTTTAGAATTCTTTAAGTGACCCGAATTCGTTGCTCTCGAGTGTACTCAGGTCTACGGTATTTTGAATCTGTAAATAAGATGAACGTAAATAAGATACGGCGGTTTTTTTTTCTTATTCACCCGAAATATTTTAGTGTGTTCGTAGTATCTGCACTATATAGCCGCGTCAACTAGGTAAATAATTGTTGATTTAGATATAGATCATTAGTGGGCGTACAGAAGAATAGCTGAGCATTTAAATTGTTCTGTTAAGAAAGTTTTTAATGTAATTGATCATTATAAAACACACGGAACTGTTAAAAATATTCTTAGAAAGGCACAACCAAGAAAAACATGTCCCAAAGATGATACGCTAATCGTCCGTGATGCTAAAAAAGATATGATGCAGATTAAAAATGAAGCTTTTTCGCCTGATGACCTGAGAAACATCTCATCAAGACTGATACGTCGAAGTTTAGCGGAAAGTAAATTGTTTGGAAGAATCGCTCAAAAGGTAGCGCTTCTTACCAAAGAAAAACGAGAGAAGCGATTATTATTCGCTAAAAAATATGTTTATTAGAACGGTATGAGAATGGAAATACCGATGGAAAACGCTATTTTAGACGTCCTGTGAACAATGCTTTTAATTATAAATAACCAATGAGTCTATACTCAAGTACGGTGGAGGTAACATTAAAATTGGGGGTGTTTTTCCGGGTGTGGAATTGGATCCGTTCGGAAGATTGAAGGTATAATGGATCAATGGCAATACAAAAAAAAATCTTAGAGCACACAATGATTCCCTACTCGGACGATCATTTGCCTGTAAGGTTACAGGATCTTTCAGCATGACAGTGAACCCTAAACACACGGCTAATATCGTCAAATGTTTCCTTAGAAAACAGCGTATACCCGTTTTAGACTGGCCACAAAATAGTCCGGATTTAAACCCTATAGAAAATCTCTGGTATATTGTTAAAAAGAAAGTCTCAAACAAACGTAACACCAGTCAAAACCAACTATATGAAGCATTTGTTGCAGCATTGGAATTCAATCTCCCTAGAAAAATGTATGAAATTGATTGAATCAATGCCACGTCGTTGCAGTGCTGTTATTGGAAATAAGGGATACGCCACAAAATATTAATTATAACTATTGTTAGGCTGTGCTTATTAGCTATTTCGTAAATACCAATACTAATTAAATACTTAAAAAAATATAGTGTTTTTACTTTTTTGTTGTTGTTTCTAATTAGTTGACCATTATTTTTCATACCATAAAACTGATTTAAATGTTTGTCCGTAATATAATATTGAAACTGCACTTGTGTGATGGGATTTATATTGTTTTTCTAATAAATGATAAATCGTTGAACATATTCTTGCCCTATTTATTGTTTACTTTCAAAATAAAAACCATTGCGGTAAAGTTTATTACATAATGTCATGGATCTTTGGTAGTGTTTCTAATTATACGACCACCACTGTATCAACAAATAACTTCATTTTCAAAATAAAATTCCCATTTTTTGAATGAGAAACAACAAAGCATTTGCTGAGATTGAAAAAGATGAAAATCGACTTCACTTCACTTTTGTTTTAAACCATCATCAAATTATTGAATTCAAATTAAATTAATATAAATATATATATTTATATAAGTAATTATTATTTCAATTTATGGATCGTTTCTCCAGCCTTCTATTTTTTTATTCGAATGAATTCATCCACCCTTCATTTCCTTGAACTGAACGAATGAATTAGAAGTGAAGTCATAATTGAGTTATGACCGAAACTGTGTCTGTAAATATATTTGCAGTTTCTACAAAAAAATCCAACTTTCATTTGCCCGTTTTTAATATTCCCCTTAACATTATACAGGACCTTATTTAGTCATTTCGAATAAAGCAAAATAAATGAGAAGAATATGTAAACTTCCATTTTCGCCGGCACTCTTGCTTTAATCTAATAAATAACAAGATATGGAGTG